AAAATATTAATAATTAATTAATAATAAAAAAACATAAAATATAGTGTTAAAATAATATGTCATTAAATTTTAAATAAACATTTGTAATTTTAAATCCAACATCCACTATTATTTATCTAGGGTATATTGCAAGGGTAATAAATCAGAACTATTTAAAAATATAAAATAAATATAAATAAAAATATAAAACATTTTTTTAAATTTATGTGTTAAATAAACGACTTAAGTGAAAAATTGTTTAATCTCTCTTTTATATTACGTTTATCATATTCCTAAAGTTGTTGGTATCGAGTGTATTAAAATTATTCTTGTCCAAAGGGTGAAAAGTAAGATCTCTGTAACATTACTAAAGCTATATGCCACACCTAAGCGGATGAAATCAGATACCTACGTACAAGTATCTTTCCGAATGCAATATAATATTTAAAAATTTAACTTTTTCTAATATGCTTTGAAATATGTATTCATTGTTTATATTTTTTTTACTTATCTAGTACTAGTCTGTCTATTATTTTGAAATGTTAAAAGCATAGAAAAGGATAGAAGGTTTTAAGAGAAGCAGACTACTGCGGCAATAGTGATCGTTTGGAGTGTTGAAAGGATAGAATAATAAGATATTAATAGATATATGATTGCAATCTAATACTTTATGATTCATTCTAATATAATTTAAACTTGTATTCATTGTTTGTATTATCTTTTTTAATTATCTAGTCTATTATTTGGGAATATTAAACGGATAGAAAACTTTTAGAGAAGCAGAATAGTGTGACAATAGTGATCGTTTGGAGTGTTGAAAGGAAAGATAAAGATATTAATAGATACCATATACGATTGCAGCCTTATATTAGAAAATTTAATGTTTCATTCTAATATGATTTAAACTTGTATTCATTATTTGTATTATTTTTTTTCAATTAACTAGTAACATTTCAACTGTTATATTGGAATGTTAGAATAATAGAATAAGATATAAACAGAGAAAATAAATTTCAAAGAAACAGAGCACTGCAGACATATTTATCGTTTGTGTTACAACTATCCTCAACCAAACAGAATAAAAGTCAGATTATCACTCAATAACAATTCCTGATATCGAACGGAGTCAAGAGTTCACTTCTTTCTGTTCTACTTTTAACCCAAATTAAACTCAGGTAGGTAAAATTTTATTAGACTTGGATAAAAAAAATAGAATGAGATATTAACAGAAAAAGTGGCTGTAGTAATAGTAATCAGACCGCTGTAGTAATAGTAATCGTTTGTATTATAACTATTCTTAATCAAACAGAATAAAAGCCAGACTATCCATCGATAATTTCTGATATCAGACCGGGTTAAGAGCTCCCATCCTTCTGTTCTTATACTAGTCCATATGAAAACCAGTGAGTTGAAATGTTATTAGCCTTTCAAACAGAGACAATAATTTAACACCAGACCTATCGCCAGAACAAACCTATTTTATTGAGGTCTTGAAGTGGTAGCGCAAATTAAGATGTTCTGATAGTAACATGCCTGCTCTTTGGTTGGTTATAGTGTGGCAAGTTGGCAGACATCTTTTTGATACCCATAATTGGCGACTATTCGCCGTTTTATTGTCTTATTCCTTGCAATAAATCCAAAGAGATAAAAACTAAATATCACTCCTACTGAGAAGAGCCGTCTTTTTGTAATTGAAAATAAAAATTAATTTTTTAGCGATATGGTAATACCCAGAGTAACAAACATTTCATAAATTTTTAATTTCTACTTAACAATATTGTGGGTTTAGATACAAAAAATAACTTGGTTTTCTCAAATCTAGTGAACTTATTATTAAAAATAAATATAAATTATAAATCTTGCTGAAATAAATTATTTTTTGATTATTTTGAGTTGTTGTTAAGAGGTTTTTAGGTTTTTTATTTCTGTTCTATTTACGAAAGAAATGAATATAATGGTGAAAAGTATAATTTTACAATTGAAACATGAATATCTTCACATTGTTTTAATTAGTTGTAAAACAATTAAAAAATAAATAAATAAAATATTTTACTATCTTCCTCTTTAATTTTTCTTCAGTACTTCCATTTGTATTACAAAATCATATTAATTTCCATCAAATATTATGCAAAACATGTATCAAGATTTTGATTTATAGGAGATATTCATCTGCCTCATTCACCCCCAATATGGAATAAAATCAAATCAGTTCTTGCACATAAGTAAAACTAATTACAATTTAATGGATTCTGATGTAGTAAAATTGTCCACTCGCTCAATAATAAATGCAATTAAATCGTAAAAGACTCAGCAGTAGCAAAAAATTACAGAAAGAAATTAAATCATCTTTCAGAAGAGTCCAAATAAAAGCCTGAATACTGATGAATACTGATAAAATAAAAGCAGGATGAATATATATTATTTAATGGATTTCTCAATTTGGAACAGACTATTGAAATACCCCAGAAAATAGTTTCCAATCAAATTCTCGGTCTGCACAAAAAGTAGATTTTATAATTTGCAATCGAAAATACACAGAACTTTTTAAGAATTGGGATTTCTGTTGAGGCTAACTATTAGCAAATACATGCATCAGTAAAGTCAACTGATGTTTCGAATTTATTTATTTATGAGTTAACCTTAAAATTAATTTTAAACTTAACTAAGAATAAGGAACTGGACTGCTAGGTCGTTCGCCCTGAACGAATTTATATTATTGGACATATGAACACTTCTGCTAAGGCATAGGATAAATATCTTGTTGTTGACTAATGATATATACAATTAATACTTTTATGAAAATTATTTCATTCAGATAGTTCTACTTAAAACAAAGTGTGATATAAGCAAATTGTTCAGATATAAAAAACACATTTACAATAATTTATAATAAATTTAGGCGCCGTAACGTTATGTTTGGTTCAGCCCACAGTGACAGTTCTGCTTAGCAAAAATGCCTTACGTGGCACATTTTATCATAATCCTAATCCTCAATTAAAAAGGAATCAAGAAAGTTAAGATTCTTACCCATTTAAGGTTGAAGATTAACATAAAATGCATGTTAATCAGTTTATTATAACTCTTTGCTTTCTGTATTTAAGGATATTTAAGATTTAGCAAAACCCAAGAGAATTATTTCATTTTTTTAATTTTGCTTTCTGTAGAAGTTTAGAAGCTTTCAGGTACATTATATCCATTAAAATACTTTTCGCACTTATAACAATAATATAATGATAACTCAAAGGATTTGATATTCGCTAAGATAATAAAATTGCGAAAAGCAATTTTTAGTTATTGAATTATAATCAACAATTTAAGAAAATTGATTTAAAAGTTATTTTATCCTTTCCAAAAGCTTCTATTGGATTAAATTATTGTCATATGAAGTGATTGCAAATTGTGCTGATATTAAATGTCAAGGGTCACAAGTTCATGTTAATATTGTAAGGATGACAATAAAAATATAGAAAAATGTCAGCCTTGGCTTTGTTGAGTAAATCTCAATACCCTTCAGATAAAATTATTGTATAAGTTTAAATAGAATTTAACTAATAAATAAAAATGTTTAAATATCTTTGAATAATATATATTTAAATCTTGACATAATTTTATGAATACAAGGTCAATCTACTTTTTTGCTTTAGGTGTAGTAAAAAGAAATTCATTATTTTCCCAATAGATTGCTTTGGTTATCTGTATCCCCCAATATATAAGTTCAATCGGGATACGCTAGAAGGCGTTAGAAAGATGAGATTTCATACTAAAAAAAGCTTTCAACAGTTTGGTAATTGGTTGACTTAGTTTTGGTTGAGCGCGCGTCAAAAATGGACATTAACAAAGAGAAAATATGCCATATTTGCAGTTTTTCTTTGATAGAGGCGATGTTACTGTGAAGATTGTTTATGGTCCTGATACTTGGAACACCCAATAATCCGTAATTTTGATTTCGTTTCGGTAATTGTAATATCAAAGGAGCATCACGCACTGGAAGTCGAAAATGGCGATAAAATTATGGAAACTGTTGAGTTCAATCTGCTGTTGTCATGTAAGCACTGTCTCAATTACCCAAGAGCTCAAGGTTGTACAAAAAACTGTTTGGAATCGCAATAAAATCGACCCATTTTTGAAGCGGTTGGTGAGTGGTGATAAAAAGTGGTTATTGATCACTTACGATAACGAAAGCTCAGGAAGGTTTTGCTAAGTGTTCGGCGGGATTGACAAGGAATCATGTGTTACTCCTCTACAGCAAAACTCTCAAATCGAAACTTTACTGTCAATAATTGGACCGTCTATAGGAAGTAATCGCCCAGAAACGGTCAGCTTTAGGCAATAGGAGAGGAATTATATTCATCAGGACAACACCAAAAAGCTTAGGGAGTTTGGTTGGGAACTTCTTATGAATCTTATAAATTAATTTTATACCAATAGGGGCGAGGACTTCTAAGGGAGAAGCATAATGAAATTACCTTCAAAATGGTAACAAGTTATCAAACATATCGGTACATATTCTTCTTATTTTTATTACACCAATTATATTAAATTCATTTCACAAATTCCTTGCAAGAAAAATATCAAAAATATTTTATAAATATATATATATATATATATATATTTATATTTATATTTATATATTACATATTTATAAATTTTATCAATATTTTATAAATATTTTTAGATAAATAAGGTTTTTTTTATCAAAATCAATTTTTCAAAAACTTCTACTGTAGATCTGAACTCATTTAATTACAAAAATATATTAGGAATGAAATTAAATTGACATTATATCACAAAAGGATGAATTAAAAGAGACTAAGACTAAACTAACTATCGACATAAATAATAAAATACTCTAACATATCTTTGTCACACAACCGCACATAGGTTGATATATTTACTAAATACCTAGTCGTTGGTCCGAACTTACTAGCTATTTCTTTTCGTCACTTTACCTAATTATTTATAGTCAATTATATTTATAAAAAAACTCGTAAAAAAACAAAAAAAAAAATGCTAATATCAAGTGTTTCTGGCTTATCAAAAAAAATTATTACATCTATGATTCATAAGAGCTACACTAGAAAAATATCTTCAGCGTGGTAAGTGCCCATATCCTTACCATCCAACCCTTTTAAGATATATAGGGAATTGCCTACACTTTTTTGAATAATACATTTAATATTTTTTTTTAGCTAGTTTTGCATTATAACATTCGGCTGCATTGCTTTGTCTAAAATTCCTTCTATATGGGGTAAAGGGTACGCATCTTTTATAGTACGTTCATTTACCTTCCTAGCATCCAAACAGAGCCTGTACTTCTCCTCTTTTATCACCAGAGTTACTGGAGAGTTCCAGCTACTGTTACTTTCTTCAATTACTCCTAGATCTAACATCCTGTCTAATTCTGCATACATAAGTTTTTGTATGGCAGGCGATATTGGATAGTGCCTCTGTTTAACTGGTATGTGTTCGTCTCTTACTTCTATTACATGTTCTTCATACATTGTTTTGCCTAATCCTAATGTTTTAAATGATGGAAAATGTTGTTTAACTGTGTCCAGTCTTCTATTTTGGCTACTTCTTAAAACATGTTGGTCCTTATCGAACTGAAGGTCCTTTGGGGTTGCAATCAACTCCGACACATCTGTCCTGTTATTTTCATTACCCCCCACTATTGAATTCTGTCTGCTTACCACTGCTAACCCAAACACTTTCCAAAAGTCGGTACCAAAATAAAAATGTTGCTGCAATGCAGGTACTACCAAAAACTCCATATTTTTTATCATACCATCCCACTTTACGGGCAAAGTGATCATTCCTATGACTGCAGTCTTTCCTCCATTTGCGGTTTCAACCTGTTGATTCTTCAAGGAAATCATTTGGTCTGACCGTTTTTCAAGGAATTTGGCGGCATCCTTTCCAATGCAGTTAGCACTACCCCCTGTGTCCAATAAAGCTAATACTTCTTCCCCATATATAGTAGTTTTTGCAAAGAATCTATTATCATCATCTAAAGTTACTATAGCAAACACTAACTTTCTACTGCAACGTTTAAACAAAGCCGTTTTTTCCCTAATTTTTTTTTATTTTCTTGAACTTTCTACTTTGCACCTCTTCATTAAATATTTTCGCTCTTTTTCGTTCATACTCTAATTTACGCTGGTGTAGACTTTTACGTTCATTGATAACAGGTATCACCGGCGTTTGAACATCCATTTTTCTTCTTAACATAGTTATTTGTTTCCCGGATTCATCTTCATTTGACAGCCTCCCCGGGGTGTACAAGCGTTTAGATTTTAATACGGGTGGCTTAATTCAGGAAGATAGGGCATGGAAACTGTGGGTTCCGACCGAGTTACGAAAAGAATTTTTAGAATCCGCACATTCTTCTCCTTCAGCAGGACATGGAGGAGTACACAAAACTATTGCAAGATTAAGATCTAATTACTATTGGCCTGGAATGGTAGTTGAGGTACAATCCTTCATTAAGAACTGTGATATATGCAACACCAGAAAGGCTTCAAATAAAATGCGTAGACCGTTGATGGGTGCACAGCACATCACTGAGAGAGCGTTCCAAAGACTATATATCGACTTTATGCGACCATACCCACGATCATCAGATGGGAACACGATGATATTCGTATGTTTGGATCACTTTACGAAATTTATTTTCTTAAAGCCAATGAAAGCAGCCACGGCCGCTAAGGTTACTCAATATCTTGAAAATGACATTTTTCATATGTTTGGGGTATCTGAGTACATTCATAGTGATAATGGTAAACAATTCACAGCAGAAAAATTTAAGATCCTGCTTTTGAAGTACGGAATCACACATGTCAAAACGGGATTTTATGCTCCGCAAGCAAATGCAGCTGAAATGGTAAACCGCAGTGTGCTCCAAATTTTACGATCTTTCATAACTCAGGATCAGAAGACCTGGGATCGCCATGTCAGTGAGGCGGCATGGGCACTTAGGAGTGTAACACATAGCGCGATTGGGTTAGAACCTTACTATGCCTTATTTGGAACTCAGATGATGCTGCATGGTAACTCCTACAAGGTGATGCGAAATATTACTACTGTAAAAACAGGTGATTTTTCTGTAATGATGACGTCTGATCGGCAACAGTTACTAAGAGAAAAGATAATGCATGAACTCAAATTGGCTCATCAAAGAGCTGAAAAGGTGTATAACACAAGGAGTAAGCCAATTTCTTTTAAAGAAGGACAAATGGTATATAGAAAAGGAAATGTAGAAACGGCAGAATTCTTTAACCAGATGGCTTAAAGTTAATGAGTATAGATGACCGGTGCATGTGAGAAGGGGACAATGTTAGGTTGAGGTAAAATGAAGATGAATTAAACGAGACAAGGACGACTAGTAAAATTAGGGAGCTGTAAGGAATAGTAGGACCTTTTACTTCAGCTCAAAGGTAACTACGGTAGAGTAATGAGGGCGGGTAGGTCCAAACTGACAGACAAGGACAGGGACAATACGGAGTAACACTGGTAGACAGCAATGAAATAGTTTTTTTTTATATTTTGTTTTGTTTTTTTTTACTTTCCTTATTTTTTTGTTTGATCTACTTTGATCACATTTATTGCAATTTTTTTTTAACAATGCTCTCTGGCACAATTTTTTTATTTTTTGTTACGGTTCGAATGTATTATAGCGGAGTAAATAATCCACCCCTTTTTCTGACGAGCTAGCTGGCCTCGCCACCGTGCCAGACTTTAACTCTGCTCACAAAAATATCAAAAGATGTTGAACGTAACAAATGTATAAGAAGGTATAAGAATATTTATTTTTTTATTTGCCTGTATATTTTTCTCACCATTCAAAAAATTTAGTACAATAATTTGTTTTACAAAACATAATTAAAAAAACAGTTTCAAGAAAACTTGAATAATTTGCCTTAAAATTAATTGAACTGTGAACTTATTTGGAAACTTTTCCAGACATTTGGGTGCCATTAATTTTAGTTTTTTTTAGAAAAACTGGACCACTATGTTAATTTATTTGTTTTTCATTCCAATAAAATATTTCTCATTCATTCATTATATATACATACATACATATGTAATATGTATGATGTGTAAGCAGCACGAGCATGTGAATTTCGATGTTTGTAAACAATTTAATATAATCCGCAATTGCAATTTGCAATTGCGCCTCGATCCATAGATAAGTCTGAGGCGGTGCATGCCAAAAGGCCGTATATAAAAATTTCATTTTACATGACATTTTAATTGAATGTTTTATCACCAAAACTTTAATTTTTATTAATGTCCTAATCAATAAATTTAGTGCACTATTTAAAAACAAAATATTTTATACACAAAATTTTATTTTTGTTTTTGCAAAAATGTAGCAATTTTTCCATTATGGAATATAAATTAATAACGGAAGAACGTTTTGACGACGTCGTACGTCATTTACGTGATTCGTTTTTTGCTGATGAACCACTTAATAAAGCGGCCGGTTTGTGTTGCAAGGGATTGGGAAATCGTGAATTGGAACAGCATAGCTACGAGACGCTTGAGGATCATTTAAGTTTGATGGCAGTTGACGAAAATGATGAAGTACTATTTATTCATCATATATAAATACATTTTATTCTAATTAATTATTTACTTTAGATTGCTGGGGTTATTTTGAATGGTGTGTTATTACCTGGTGACATTAAGAGTGCACAAAAGAAGCTGGAATTAAGCGATGATGAAAATTTCAAAAAGATATTTCAATTACTTTATTCCCATAATCAAAAAGTTAACATATTTGAACGCTTCAATGTGGATAAGGCTTTTGATGTGCGCATACTTTCAGTAGATGGGCGCTTTCGCGGACAAGGCATAGCCAAGGAATTGGTGCGACGTAGTGAACAAGTAGCTAGAGATTTTGAATTTAAGGTAAATTAATTAATCAATTAACAGTTTCCAATAAATAAAAACATCCGACAACATGTGTATGCTTGTATTGAAAACAAAACCAAAAAAATTAATGCTTTATTCGAATTATATTATCGATTTACTATAAGAATCTGTCAAAAAGAATCTGTTAAAATACTCATTTAAAGCTCCTAGTAATATAGGCGTAACTTTTCTTAGCAATCCCTATATTGAAGTAAAATATAAAAAAACTGCGAGTAAATTTTACTAGTAGAAGACTAGAAGAATATACTGTTAAGACAAATACTAATGTATATAAAACCCTCAACTGCAGTTAATTAAATAAGTAAGTTAGATATTACATATATTTTTAAATTTAAACAAAATAAATTAATTTTATCAAAAACTGAATTTAAAAATACAGTAAGACCCCGCTTAACGCTGTTTCGGTTTAGCGCTCTTTTATTTCAACCCGAACATTTAAGCAGATGTTTGAAAAAACAGACGGAGAAGAGAAGCAATCAATAAGAGAATTTTGGAAAAACTACAATTTCATGAATGTTGTAGAAAACATAAACCTTTCTTGGAATGAGATAACAGAAAGATCTTTGAAAAGAGAATGGAAGGACATTTGATCAGATTTAAGTAAGTGCGAAGACATCGAACCCTCTGTCGATATGGATGAAATAGTGATAGAAATAGTGGAATTAGCGAAACAAAGCGGTTTAGATAAGGTAAAAGTAGAAGACGTCAAAAAAGTAGTTCAAGAAACAACAGATAGTTTTTCTAATGATGAGCTCAAGGAATTAATTGAGCAAGAAGAAAACAAAAACATTGATAGTAGTGATTTCGAAGTAGAGCAAAAAGAACTTTCGATATTGTTTGTGAAAATAACTTTGATCACTACAACTGAAATGATGGACCAATTTGTTAAAATTGATTCAAATTTTGGCAGGAGTTCAAAAGCAAGACGGCGTGTTATAGATGCTTTATCCACTTATTAACAATTTCTAACAGAAGGCAAAAGAAAAATCGCAAACTACATTAGATGCCTTTTTGACAAAAAGGCAGAAGATTGGAAACACAGAATAGACTGAATAACATTGTTTTTGTTTTTGTAAGAAATAAATATTTGGTGCTATTATTATTAAAAAAAAAAACATAATTATTAAATTGAATACTTAGCAATTTTCTATCAATCTTCCCCTAATCGCAATATTTACATGTTAACATAGCCTCGTTTAGCGCTGTTTCGCATTATGCTCTACTTTGTAGGAACGTATCCCAGGCGTTAAGCGGGGTCATACTGTATTAATTAAGACAAAATTTTAACCCCGTCATGTGTATTAATATTCTTATTATTTTAAAATTAATATAAATTAAAAATAATAAATTTACTTTTCCATCCACACACACACATACATAACAATAACAATAAGAAGCAGCGATTGTGGTTTATATTACTTCTCAAAGATTTTTATAGGATTGTTCGGAAAGTAATTTTGAGTCTGACTTTTCATTTAAGCAATATTATCATTACATATTTAAACAAAAATGACCTGGATTAGTTTTTTAACCAACAGTGGTCAAAATTTAAATGAATGCAGTTAAGCTACTGCCAAAAAGATGGGAGAAGGTATTAAAACAACCTGAAGAATATAATAATAATAAGCCTTGTTCGACATTATTAACTTTAAGGCGTTTCTGTATACTAGACTAGACATACAGAAATCGCAACTATTTTTCTCGAAATGAGATTTTCCAAATTCTCATTTAAGTATTTCTACGTTTATGCTTTTAGAATAAAATAGTAATAATTAAAATCTATAAAACATAAAATCAATTACTCATAATTCAATTGATAAAAAACAAAAAAATATATATATGTTAATTTTATGTAAATATATTTATTTATTTCAAACAATTCTAGCACATTGAATTATTATATTTTACAATACAAATAATACACAAAAAAAAAAATATATACATATATATTTCCGAATAATATACTAAAGTTCCATTATTTTATATTGTTAACAGTTAATGAAAGCCGATGCAACAGGTATATTTTCACAGAAGATACTTAAGTCAAATGGTTTTGAACTACTTATTGAGCAGTATTACAATAAATACACAGATGAGTTTGGATATCCTGTGCTTAATGTGGAATCTCCACACATTAAACTACAATTGCTTTACAAATATTTAGATTAAATCAAAATATATACTTTTTTATGCATTTCAAATATTTATTAAAAGTAGTTTTAAATCATAAATCAAGATATATATTGAAACGAACACAAAAACATATATAAATATTTATTATATAAATTCATAAATAACATTATTGTAGTTTTTATGTTATTAACGAAATTAAAGTTAAATCATTTTTCTTTTTTATATAAAAAATAATATTTATTTTAACAAGACAATAAAACTTAAAATATTATAAAATATTTGAAATTAATACAAATTTGTTATTAATTATATTTTATATATATATAGTTAAGTTTTTTAAAGACATATAGGGAATATTTGTAACAAATAAATTAATTGTACACCAAAAAGTTTTTTCTTTTTTAAGTTAGTTACATTTTTTAGATGCGTATATTTTACTACTAATTTTTATACTATTAGTATTTAATATTATAAAGTTTAAGCATAATAAATAAATAAATAAATACATATAAAATTGTTACAAAAAAGGCATTTTGTTTATACAAAAAAAATACTGAATGCAGTAACTTAATAGGTACGAATAGATATATAAATAAATTGTGAAAAAAAATAAATATATATAGATATATATATATAAATGAAATGATGAAGTTATAATTGCTGATTTATGCAATAAATTATATATGACATAAACTCAATAATTATATATAACATAAATTTAATAATTAAATATAACATAAATTTAATAATTATATGTAACATATATTTTATAATCATATGTTTCAAAATAAATTGTGCACAGTAATAACATTTAACACTTAATTATATTAATAAATTTTAAAACTAATATAGATTTTAAAACTTTTTCTTCAGTTAATACATTTTATAACATACAATAAACACACATAATTTACATATATCTAAGTCTAAACATCTATTCTAAATAATAATGTTATTTAAAACATTTTATATAAATTATTTTTCCTTATTCATATTATTTCTTTTTATAGGTACTTTTCGTATCATTTCAGGTAATCATTGTATTTATTACTGTCACTTTGCACTTTAGATACATATCACAATCCTTACTGTTTCTATTATTAAAATGCAGTTAAGCAAACGACTAAATGCATACAAGAAATAGCATATATATATATAACAGCAGAAGCTTCTAAATGCTTTTTTTGCTTTGTGGTTTGTATTAAAGATACATTAAATTATTGCCTAGCGACATATAAAACATTTCTTTGTATTAAAATTAACAAAGGCAGTACTTATGTGAAATAAGTTAGTAAACAATTAGTTTTAGGTTTTTAGTGAAGTAAAATCAGTATTGATACTAATACGTGACGACATACGCAAAATGTCATAATCATTCAGTTTTGTAGTCTACTAATTGTGCTTAGTATGATATATGCGTAAACTAATCAGCTTATAAAGATTTAGCATTGCATCCTGAACAATTTCGACATAAAACTTATTATTGTCGAGTCATAAAATATTTTATAAATTTTTGGTTGTATTAAAATGGAATTAAAAAAAGCTTTAAAATTGTTTTTAAAAATAATTTCGTACAGATAATTGGAAATGTGCCATTAAAAATATTACAATTTTTTAAAACTTTTAAATAATATTTTTTGTTACGAAATCTTTGCATTTGATTTAAAAATCAATATTTTTTAAAGTTGTGATATACATACATAAACGATATAATTTAAAAATATGTACTAAGGTAACTACAGACTTTTTTCCAAATTATCTAACTTTACATGTAGTTTTGTACCATTTTTATGAAATATTCCTATTCAAAACTTTTTATATTTAATATCTTTAAAAGTACTTATCAAAATATATGAACTTTGGTTTCTCTAAATCTGTTAAATTAATTAGGAAATATAAATATCACATCTTCATCTGTACCATAAGCTTTTCTAGCTACATCTAATGAAGCCGTTGAACATTGACATACATCTAAAAAGAAAACGTCATTAAATAGTATAATATACAATATTTAAAATTATAAAAATACTTACGACCATCATGTACTTCTGGATTTCGATAAAATATTTTATTTAGTTTTATATCGTAGCCACATAAAACAATGTAATGTCCAGCATAACTTTTGGGAATGCGTGTGTTTTTGGTAATACAAGAAAATTTAAAGCAACTTTAATTTTTATAAATAAAGCAATGTTAACACCATTCCCAATCAACGATTCTTACATATTATTATTATTATTATTAAAATAACTTAAAATAATTTATATAAATGTATAAAGATTTATGCAAAAAGACTCACCCAAAATTTTCTAAGACATGTTTTTTACAAATCTCACATGTCAGTAATGAAGCATTTGTTAGCATTATAATTGGTCCTTTGCGTCCAAGATGATGTATAAGCGTTTGCATATCTACCGTACGTTGTTCTACACGTATACCATGTGAACTTGCCTCCTTAAACTTACGCGTCACACGTTTTTCATCTTTATCTATTATTTTCGTATAATAACTGTGTTGATTGTAATTTGGATCGATTCCAAGTGTTTTTGTAAAATATTCATGACGCACATCATAACGCCTTAGCAAGTAACACAAATCAATACTCCAAGTACTTGAACCAAAACCTTCTTCTTTGCAAATGGTTAAGAAATTATCAATAAAATGTTGACGTTGTGTACTTGTCAATATCATTAAAATACAAGATATACCACAATCCCAATTATAGCGTTGTTGGTAGTGTGTAAGGTTGTAGTGCTTCTGTGGTGGTATTGCTTTGAAATAACAGTAAATATTACTTCCAATTCAACTATAGCATAACAGTATTCATTTACCTTCCATTTTTGTATTTGCTTAAAAGTATTTATATCCAAAACTTTGTTTTGTTTATGTATTTATTCTACAGCTGCTCCACCATCAGCTGCTTATAAATTGTATTGTATTTGGCTGTTCTCCAAATTGCTAATGTAAGCATAGACAGAGATGTATTGACGAAAATGCTCACATAGCAAAGTTGGTAATAGATTAATAGTACGTGACTTTAATCATTTTTTACAAATAATTTATATGAATAATCTTTCGAAAATCTATAAAAATCACGAACTCATTTTATACTTTAAAAATATTTTTAGAATTTTAATAATTTATATAAATATATATAGCACAAATAAATATTATGTACTGTTTGGCATTTTTATTGCTTGCAATTTATTTCATATTTACTTATATAAGTATACATTCTTTATTTGTTGACATGTTTATACTGCATTTTACACATATTTTTATACACAATCAAATAAGTTTTAAAAAATATTTTATACGTAAAACATAAAGTCGTTCCACAATTTTCACAATAACTTAACTCTGAGCGAACCATAGAATCCACATAGAATCCACATTATTTAGCATATTAAACTATTCATCTACAATAAAACATAAACTAGTGTGTACATAAACTTCTTTCACACATTTTTCTAAATAAATAACTTGCTAATTGAATGGCAATTATTCACATTTTCATAAAAAATATCAATTCATTGAAAAAATAAAGAGTTAAAATTAAATTAAAACCAATTTTATATAAAAAATAAGTCATTCTCGGATTTAAAATAATATTATTTATCATAAAATTTTTAATATTTTTTAAATCTAAGTATTTTGTAGTATTTACCATTTCCTATCGTTTTATATATATAATCATATGACACATATTTCAACTCTTGGTAATTTCCCTTTGTGGGAAATTTTAAGGGATGCATTGGACATTTCTACATTAAATGAGCTAATGAGCTCATTTATATGAAATGTTTTGTATGGTAATTCATTCTCATTAGTGGTTATTATTTTGTTTAATATTTAACATTAATAAACATTTCATATATCAACATTTATTTCATCAGTTAAAAAATATTTTAAACATTAATTTATTTTCGAAGAACTTATAGATCTAATTTTAAAAAAATAAGCTAAAGAATTCACGTATCTGTTTAATTATTTGTTCACCAATTTGTCACTTCTGATAAAAATTAAGCAGTAAATCTCTATATAATTTTGTATTAGATTAATTTTAATATATCGGTTATTGGTTAGGATTATTATAACTATTAAATTTTATAAACCAACTAAAGAAAATTAAACTAAAAAAAAGCATTTAAATTAAACAATACGTAAGTATTTTATAAATCGATATTTATATTCGAATTAATAAATTGGTGTTGAATTGACACTAAAGACAATTCTCTCCACTTTCGTGACAAATGATAAAGAACCCATATTTATATTACATACCTGTTCTTACGAATACAAAATATGATATTGAATGAAATATGAACAGCTGATATCGGCAAAATTCATTTTTGGAAGTTATTAACTTTTGTTGAATTGTGGAAAAGCTTTACATAAGTATGCAGAAAAGACGCATAAAAACGAGTTCAATTTTGGATAAATTACATCGTGGATTTGTTTACACCTGCATTGGTGTTACCTTAATTGGAACTTATGCGCTTGGAGAACGCGTGTATCGATACTTCACAGTTGTACGTCCGCAAAGAAAACAGGAAGAACTAAAAATGATTGAAGGGGACATGCAGGACAAAGCACCTGCACTTAAATATTAAATTTTATTGCATTAATTGTTTTTTTAAGTTAAATATAATAATACAGAATGAATCGTTTTATTGTAATATTACTACATAACAAATACATATATTAGTAACGTATGATGTACACTACAATTTTCCTTTAAGATAGTTTTTTATTTAAGAAATACATATCACAATATGTTGCCATAGTTAACTTTCATTGGTTTCGTTAGACCGGTTAATTTACTTGAGATTCAAGTGATTTAAGCAATCTAATGTAAGTTAACTGGTCAAACGAATCCGTAGATATATACAAATAAGGTTGTTAGTAGCTAAGAAGTGGAGTTGTGACGTAACGCTATTATAAATAATAATACTATAAAGTAAGTAATCAATATAAAATCTATTTACATTAATTTATATTATTACAAATGTTTCTGAGCAATTGTAATATTTATCGTGAGGTTTACTGTAAATATTTATATAATTGCTTTACCTTATTTGCGGTGTGCATGCATGTGGATTTTCACAAACATATTTGTTTGAAAAATTTATTTTGCTCACACTGCATATTGGGGTTTATATATTGTGTACATGATGCAAATGCTAGTTTATATAAAGAGAAACATTTTAGTTTGTAAGTAAATAGAAATCCGTATTTACAAACATTTTCTTTTTAATGAATATAAATTGTAAACAATCTGGTTTTTGTCGTTTAAAATGTCAAACTTTTTGACGTTTTGTTTTCAACTCTCCACAAACATTCGATGAAAAACATTTTAAAATTAAAATTATTAATACAATTGTTGGGCTTAAAATTTGTATAGTTTTGTTATTTATTGTGTGTGTTTTATATTGTAAAACTATTTACACGACATATACTATATATAATAAAAATACATTCTACATTCTTTACATTCTAGTACATTTTTTTGACATTTCAATTTACAATCACATTCCACGTTTTAACGCGAATAATTTTATGATGGCAACAAACCCTCTTGATCGCATCAGTGCATCGAAGAAAGTCATTATTAAAATGTCCGGGTTAAACTTAACAGTTCGCGTCCATCCTGTCGTTCTATTTCAAGTTGTTGATGCTTACGAGCGACGCAATGCTGATTCCCATCGTGTGATTGGTACTCTTTTGGGTAAGTATATAATATAATATAGATGCAGTTTTCACTCTGCCAATGTATATATCTTTAACAGGTAGTGTTGATAAAGGCGTTGTTGAAGTAACTAACTGCTTCTGTGTTCCACACAAGGAACACGATGATCAAGTTGAAGCAGAACTTAGCTATGCTTTAGATTTATTTGATCTAAATCGCAAAGTTAATCCAAACGAAAATGTTGTTGGTACATAACCTTAAATTATTCATATTTAATGATTTCTAATATATTTGATTTAAAGGTTGGTGGGCGACTGGAAATGAGGTTACAAATCATAGTTCTGTAATACATGAGTATTATGCACGCGAATGTAATAATCCGGTACATTTGACGGTAGACACTTCGCTGCAAGGTGGACGTATGGGTTTACGCGCCTATATATGTATACAGTTAGGAGTCCCAGGAGGTAAAACTGGCTGTATGTTTACACCAATACCAGTAGAGGTAAATTCTTATGAACCAGAGGTTTTTGCATTAAAAATTTTACAAAAAACTATGGGAGTGTCACCACCACATCGTCCAAAAACTGTTTCGCCTATGTTGGATTTAACACAAATCTCTGATGCAGCTAATAAATTACAAGGATTACTTGATTTAATTTTGAAATATGTGGAAGATGTTATTGCGCATAAACAAACTCCAGACAATGCTGTAGGTCGTCAACTGCTTGATTTAATACACTCTGTGCCACACATGTCGCATGAACAATTCACCCAAATGTTTAACGCTAATGTACGAGACGTTTTGATGGTTATTACATTATCCCAACTAATTAAGACACAGTTATTACTAAACGAGAAGCTAACTTTCCTACCAACAAGTTAAGTCGTAATTTTTAAGTCACTTGTTCATTTACTCAATTGATTAATTTTTTTTATAGAAACAAATTAAACAAGTGAAATTTACTCAAACAAATAGCAAAAATACCACTAACAACAAAACTAACTACAAACTATTGTAATTCAAGAAAGGGGATTTGTATACATACATATTATTATTAGTAATTCAATGTTTTTAAATTTTAACGATAAAATAAATTTCTTATATCTTCACCACAAACACAAAAACTCACGATGTTTTAATTGTATGGAACTTTCAATATGGATTAAAAATAAGAGGATAATATGGATTAAAGAGTTTTTTTCAGAAAAAATTTAATAAATTTAAATAAGTTTCAAATAATTCATCTAATATATATCACATACTTTTGTATAAAGTGGGAAAAGAAAGCTATATTAATGTAGCTGTTTTATCTCTGCTCCAATCTATCAATTTTCCACTGAATGAAATGAAATGTTTTTTTTTTAAATTGTGTTACAAATAATTGACCAATTATAATGTAAAAATTCAATAAATCAATAAAATTCAATTCATAAATTTGTATAGAGTAAATACCAAAACTATAAATAAAATTTGATAATATAAATGAAGTTTAATTCGTGACCGCCCCACAAGCAGGAAAATATTTATGCACTCGTTGCGCATCATAGCATTGTGAAGTTAGTAAAACGTGTTTATTGGACCATTTGGCATGCTGAGCTAACTTCAATTTTACATTGTAGAAAAAATCAGCATTTATTGCTTCACGTAGAATTTAAATAAAAAAAATGTTGGAATAATGGAAAACATTGTATAAACGTTGCGATAAATTTATGACTAGTAAAAATGGTATATTATAATTATTATATCATAATATATTATTATATTGTATATGTATATATATTATTATATTGTATATATATATGTATAAAATAATCAGAAATGATTGTTAACAAATTTTGTACAAATATGGAAATGTTTTTCTGTTAATAAATAATTTTATCATAGTATCGTCAAAAACATAGAAATAGTTCTGTTTTCTACACATAAGTATATCCCTATGTTATAATACATGCGATTACGAATAGAGAAAAAAATACAATAATAATAGTTAATCTAACAATCAAAAGATTATATTCAGAGTTTTATAAAACTTTATATTCTTCCTATATATATTTAAAATTATATGTAGCGCTTGTTTCATGTGCGTATTGACCGCTTAAATTTTATGTTTTGAGTCTGTCTTAAAGTACGCCAATAACTACGGTAACTGACAAAAGCGTTACCATTGAATTGATTCGATTTAAAATTTATTCCCATAATTATATTTTTAAAGGAAAACAGTATAAAATGTGCTGCAACAATGAAAGAGGAGGTACCACCCACTTCTCTCAAGGTCATCTTTAGCATTGATTGACTAAAATATTAAATGCACATTTATTTTTGATATTTATCTTAATATTGCTTAATTAAGAATATTTTTTGTTTTATTTTATTATAAGCAGTATTCGCAATTGAAGTTTACTGTCTTCATAATTGACCTTTACGAAGTAAACGTTCAATTGCATTTATTTATTTTTATTTTTAATTTATTTGTTTTACAGTTATTGCTATAAAGGAAATATTAATTTTTAATGTTAATTTCGCTTTTCTTTAATTATTCCAGAATTACTTTTTGAAAAGAAATTTTATTAAAAATAGTTTATATCGTCATTCATGCAATAAAGTAACATCGTACATTAACTAATTAACTCCAGACATCTGCGTATTTCATTTGAAGCTTTGAAGTACTTTGTGATGCAATACTTGGGTTTTTTTTTTTTGAAATTAATACATAAACGTTATTCATTTGTAGAGAGATTAAAGAAAGTCTCATTCGAGATTATATAAATATTGAAATCCGATATTGACGTTGACGCCGAAGACCACAACGTCTCTTGTAATAACTTTACATACGAATTGCAATTATTTCTTTAATATGAAACAAAAGTAAGACGAATGTGTGGAAAATGGCAACAATCTTTTATAAATAAGTTGTAAATCACACCTGCAAAACTTTAAATTAATGAGGTTAAATAAAGTAAAAACTTTTAATAAAGTTAATTAATTTTTATATACATAATTATTATTATACTCTATTTAATATAGATGCATTTTAATACATATATATATCGTTTTATTAATATAACAAGGGTACAATGTAATCGTTATCGATAATACTAAGGAGCAAATTTTTTATATAGTTGATTAATTTTTATGTAATTATTATTAAATTCTTTTTAATATAGATAGCTCTGATTTCAGATTAGTCTGCGAATTCGTTTAAGTAGTTATTTTCTGTTATCCTATTTATACATATATTTTTATTAATGTTGGTAATAATATATGTATATATCCTTTGCTTTATGTTGTTGGTACAAATTATAATTTTTTGTTAATTACTTCCATACTTCTATCTGTGGATACTTCTATCAATATGTAAGAGAATTTTGAACCGCATCAGTCTATTTTTTTGTGGTCTTCCGCTTACTCTATCAACAAAAGTTAATTACAACCGTAATTTTTTTACAAGAAAAATTCTTATTAATTAACATAGATTATCAAAATCTTTTGCGCCTATTATTTTTTAAAATTTTCTTTTAGATTATTTTAATTTGAAAAGGTAAAATAAAATGTATATATGCTGTTCGCAAACAGAAATCCATACTAATTTATTATAAAAAGTTTTAGCAGAAATAGTTTTAATAGCAAAAATGTATCATGGAAATAGGCGGGTTTCAGAAAATAATATATATAAACTACACCCACGAACGCAAGTAATGAACCCGGTACCCGAGTAAAATAGTAAAATTGTAAAGCAGTGCCATCAAAATATTTTTATATAAGAAATTGTATTTTATCGTTAATGGATTGTAAATAATACAGTACTCATTAAATGTTTAAATATTCTATAACATCATCACGAGTATTTAAAAATAATATATTTAGTGTTGTAAAAAATTTTTAAATTTTTATTTAATAACCAAATTATAAGTAACCAATTTTATTTACGAAAAATAAAGTGTTTTTAAACTAGACAGTCAGGCTATTTTTACTATTTTTGAAAATTGCATATAATTAAATATATATAGCAGTTCTTCTTCAAAAGTGTAAAATGAATGTTAATTTAATGAAACTTTTTTTCAAACCTATTTGTTATTTATTTTAGAGTGTATTAAATTTTAGAAAAAAAATAAGTTTTAAAAGTATATACAGCAAATTATATATTAAATATTAAGTAATATTTTAGAGAATATAATACATATATAAAAAAAATCAGTTGATGATTAGTATGCTGGTGTGTACAAAAAAATATATAAAATTATTTTTACATTTTTTTTATTTTTTTAAAAATATAACATTTTATTTAATAAAAACATTTAATTATATATTTTATATAAATATGTACATCATTTTGTTGTATCGTCTGTAACTTCTACATAAGTAGGCGTTATCAAACTTATTGAGGCATATATAACAAGATGGTTTTTAACCACAATGTCAAATGCTTTCAACATAAATTAATGGACGAACAATTGAAATTAAGTTATTGGGTAACAAGAAGACCCACAATTTATTTAACCGGAAAATCAAAGTCTGTTTATTGCAACACTGAAGTAAACTTGTGAACGCAGTTATTAAAGAACTGTTTTCCTTTTTTATTTATAATTTTATATAATATTTAAACATATTTTATTGTAATGTATAAATAATTATAATATTAAGTTGTTAACTTTATGGGAAAAGCCCATAAAATTATGTAGTTATGAAGTATATCATTGAGCTAAGATTTGTTAAATAATGAATGATTCTCATAATTTTTATTTGCATCTCGTCTAAGTGTATATATATAAATAGATATTTAAAAATGTTATCGGATGAACATAGAAAAGATCAAAATTTTAAAAAAAAATTTGGCTATAATAAACGATGTTATAGTCGTTATAGATAAAGTGGTTGCTAACAAGAAGAATTACTGACAACAAAAATTTAAATTCTTTTTATAAATAAAAATGAAGGGTAATATTTTATTATTTATCTACGTCAATTAGATACTATCTGTTATATTTAAATAAAATGTTTTTGAATAGAAAAGTACGAGAACCTATTAAGGTATATGAGTTATTGTTAATATAATAAGAGGTTCTGTGTATTAAGGTTTTCTTTTATAGAGACTTTGTATTTTCGACACTTAAAAAATGCCATCGGGAATCTTATACATGTACTTCATGAGAGCTTTACAATATCTTTAGTTTAGTTCAAAAGATATTTCACACATAGTCGGCTTAGAGTTAAAAGATACGAAGTCCAGTTCAAAAATGAATGAAAATATGATTATAAAAATAATTGATTATATGATTATATATAATCGGATAGTTATGGATTTCTTTACTTAAAGGTCTAAAGAGAGTAAGACCTTAAAGTGTAAAGACTGTATTTGAGATATAAAAAAAATATGAATCAAACAAAATAAAAATTATTTTCGACTTTACAATAAAATTAGGAAAGTTGGATTTAGCATCTTTTCAATATAAACCGACGACATATGGTGTATTGAAATAAAAAGATTTATTTTTTTTCCCACATGTAGAATAATTGAAAACAAAAATATGGGTAAAAATATTTATCTAAACTCTTAATTTATATATGGATATATAATCTTATATTAATTTCTTGTTAAAATCCTTAAAAAATTTATTTAAATATTTTTATTTAATTTAAATTACAAATGATTAAATTAAATTATAATATAAAAGTAGAGGTTTACTTCCCTTTAAAATTTTTTTGTAGGCTAACTTGTACAAGTTAATAAAATTAATAAGCCTTTGTATCGAGATTCCATATCTCATTGATGTCAATTGAAGACAAATGATAATTGTCAACCAATTAACTTTTTCATACATCCGTGCTCTGTATTTATTTTATAAATAAATAAATTAATAAAATAAAATTAATGAACTAATAATTTAAATTATTGAACTTTAAATTCATTAATAAATTAATTAATTTATCAATTTCGAATGTATTATGTATAATTGAAGCATAAATAGCTTTAATCACATAATTTATATTAAAGTAATATATAAAAAATATTTTTTCTACAGCATATGTATTTAAATAAGTTATATTTTTGAAGCTAGCATAAAGTAGGGATTATAAACGATTTTTGAATCCAAAAAATGTTATTATATTTATATAAATATAACATATATAAATATAGATTTATATATGTTAATTAATTCTAAAATTTTTTAGAAGTAATTGTTTTAAAATTAAAAAATATTTTTTTTTAAAAAGTTTTAATTGATTTAATGATTAGCAATGTTTATTAGTTAATTTTTGAAAAATGCTGTAGAATTTGATATGTAAACATAGCTTAAAGTTTCATGTAACTTGAGCCCTCAGCATGAAAAAGTAGAGGAAAATAACGCACCTACGCGCATACAGTTTGTCTAAAAGACATTTTGCAACTGCAATAAGCAGCAAATTCTGCTATTGCATTAAATTGTAACTATTGCATTATGCTGGTACTGTTGAGTATAAATACACCAAGAATTGTGCAGTAAAATCATAACAACTTTAACTTTCAACAAATCTAGTTAAGCATCTACCTTGAGTTGCGCGTCATTTTGCATTTACCATTTAAAATGAGATACTTTGTAAGTTTTTGTTATTTTTTTAATAACATATAAATTTTATTAATTTTTTACAATTATATTTAGAGTATTTTCCTAATTGTGGTTATCTTTGCTGCAGCATGCTTTGCTGTTGAGGCTGAAGCAGAAGATTCAGCATTAGCTGAAAAGAAAACTGAAAAACGCGGAATTTATGGTTTTGGTTATGGTGGATATCATGGCGGATACGGTGGTTATGGGCATGGATATGGACATGGTCATAGCTATGGTCATGGTTTTGGATATCCTTATCACGGTGGCTATTATGCTTCATACCACGTACCACATTATGGAGGATATGGACACTATCCGTATCATGGATATCATGGTTTTCATTAAAAAAAACTTAAATTGAACATTTTTTTATGTGTATTGGCATGTTTTATTACAAATTTTAAATACATATAGTGCAGTGTAATGTATTTTTTATAACAAAATTAAACGAAAATATATAAATTTTATATAAATATATAACAATGTTTTTAATTTTTTCGACATAGTATTCAATAAGTTTTTTCTATCTACCATGGTAGTAAATAACAAAAAAAAGTAATAGAAAAATACAAATATAATATATTACAAAAAAATTGTTAGTACTGTGTATATTATATTATTATAATTTAAAAAATAGCTCAGCATATTTTTTTTTTAAATATAATTAAATGGAGACTTAAGTCTTAGTATAATAAAATATGTAAATAGTATGTTATAAAAATCTTTTATATTAAATTTAGAACAGAGTTGATTATTTTTATTATATAAATTAATATAATTTAAAAAACCTTTCATCACATAATAATTCATTTTTTCAAATAATTGATAACTTCGAATTTACAAACGTGAAAATATTTAAGATGTATTTACATAAAATAAGTAAATAAAATTTAAAAAACATAAATTAATTTTTTAAAAAAATGCAAATGTAGAATGTGAAAATTAATTTTTCTACTAATATTTGTATACGTTTCGCTTTTTTATGGGATAACAATTTTACCTCTATTTAATATCTTAATTTCGTTAAAAAAACAATATTTTTAATATATTCGCTTTTTCTACATTAAAAGAATAAACCAATAATCGTAATGGAATTTTAAACCTAGAGCTCTGCATTTAAAAGTTTCCGTTTTCGTTCCAATTTTAACTCACGTTTGACGGCCTTTTGTTCCAGCTCTTCTGCATGTTCAACGAATAACGCTTTAAGTGCTGGATACATTAAATGAAAGTGTTTCAAATCATCTAAAGTTACTTGCATATTATCAAATGCTATAGCAACGTTTCTCATTGTTTCTGTTTCCGTTTCTTCGCCGACATTTTGCATGCGTGGTAGTTTCGCATAACGTTGCGAAAAGTGTGTAAGAATAATATGTTCCGCATCCATAGCTCTACCTTGATCAATAGCCTGCGATATGGTGCTGTGCATTTTTATTTTTGCCTCTTCAATCAAATCATCCTCCATTGTTGCTTCATGTATTAGTATAGTCGAATTGCGACCAAGTTCTACCAAATCTTGGCAAGGCATAGAATCTCCACTATATGTAATTTTAATTGGCTTGTTTTCATATTGTGCAGTGAGTGTTAAGCTTACACCGAAAGAGTGCGGACAATGACGTACCAAGCAAGTAGCAATAGTTGAAATTCCCGTATCAGTTTTTGCATCGAGTAGATGTAAAGGATCACTGAGAATCTCCCCGTTACCAATTAATTCATAAGTATTAGTAATACTTTCTATACTTTCATTATAAAAATTAAGCCAGGGTTCAATTTGTTTAGGAGCTAAAAGCAGAACTTTTTGACTGTTATCATTCAACAAACGTTGACGTTCATTTAATAATCCTATCAGACCAATATGATGGTCTGCATGTAAATGTGATACATATATTACGTTTAAATTGCGTATGACTTCTTCTGCCTTTGTTTTGCCATAAAAACGTTTTATTTGACCTAATGTACCCTCTCCACAATCCAATAACGCATATGAGTTCTGACTTGTTTGTATAAGAATAGCACTTACGTTACGTGTTTTATTTGGTATACATGAACCTGTTCCCAAAAAGACTACCTTAGGATATGAGTATTCTTCAGCTAAAGTTATATTGGAATATTCTTCCTTTAACTTTTTCAGCAATAAAGGAAATTCTTCTAATTTTTGGGTTTCTGTAATGTATTCGTTTGGGTTTAATTTTGCTGACATTGCATGATCGAGACCTGTAATGTTTATAGGCATTATTAGTTATATCATAACTTTAATAGGCAATATATATATACAGTTATTACCTTTTTGTGGTCTAAGATGAAAGTTTGATAATGAATTTATAACTGGAAAACGGGAAACATCTTCTTCACAGTTATCAATATTCATATTTGGCTCAACAGATTCGATAAGTTTAGTTTTTCTAAGTTTGTTGCTTATATTTAAATTATTATAATCACACGTAACTTCACCAAGTATTGGAAAAATTTTAGGGTTCAATTGATTTAATTGATATTGTATACGATGTGCAGCAACATAACCAGAGAATGAATTTTTACTAGAGTTCAAATAAATATGTTGCGTATTTGTTGGAAATTTGTTTATAAATGTTTGAAAACTGTTATTTTCTAAAATGTTGTCCGGACTAAAATGCACCACCAAAGGTATTTCTGAATCTATTTCATCGCTCAGTTCATGAAATAATTTCTCTTGCTTTTGTAACGATGGTAAAAATTCAATAGTTGGTATATCCAAAAATATAAAATATGCAGTTGATTCATTAGGTTCGCTTACATCGGAGGACTTCACTGTTTGACCATTATCTAATACAACATCTTGACCATTTTTTAGTAAGCCTAAAAGTGGACCAGGTGGCACACCATATTCTACACACTTTTCTAAATTCAGAGCACCTGGACGTGGTTTTAATTTGCATATATAAGCAATAACTACATTATCGTTTGGTGTATTAATCATTACTTCACTATTCGATCTGTATAAGGGCACACATTTTACGGACATAACGGAATCTTCGAAGTCATGATTTTCAGTACAATCAAGAGTTTTAACCTATTAGCGACGGAATAGAAATAAAAGTTTTGCATCATAAAATAAAATGTAAAAAGTAAAAGCATACCTGCAGAGTTTTAAGCACTACGAAACGTTTCATGCTATGTAGAATCTTATCTAAATTCGGTGGTCCATGTAATGATAGTTCTTTAACACCTGTGTCTTGTACGGTTAGTACTAAACCTGGAAAACCACCTATCATCGACCACGTATTGCGTGTAACAAAAATTTGCTCTAATCTCGAAAGTTTTGTTTTATGTTCATGTGCCAACCGTTGCGTACCTTCACCGCAATTAAAAAGATAACGTGACTGATCGGTGAAGAGATATATGGCAGATGGTGCACCACCAGCGCCGGCACCAAGTATTTGTAAATTAACAGTTCCGGGTATATATGGAGCAGATTTTTTTTTTGCTGCTTGCTGTTGTTTTTCATGACGCAGTTTGACTTTCTGTTTCATTTGAAAATTGTTTGGCTTTGATAATGTTTCTAATAATTTGAGTTTAATTTCGTCTTGTCGTAATTCTGTCATTTTGCTGCTACAATTGTGTTTTTCTAATTTTCCGTATAGTTGTAACTTGTTCAGTTGTTTATTCAAACAATTTGTATTTATATTACACACTGATCTTTTTAAATTGGAAAGCAACATTCGAAAAGAATTTAAAAATCTATTGAAATTTGTTTATTTATTGTGAAAATTATGAAATTGAATTTACACGTGAAAACCCAACACCCCACAGCTGCTTTCATTTTGTTTTGTTTTTATCTTCTTGTGTTCACGGATGTAACACAAAAAGCATGCCAAATAATGAGAACAGTGCGTGAGAACAGTTTTGCTTCAGTAGCAGCAGTTAAGAGCTACAAATATTTAAAATAATTTAAACACATTCAAATCTTTTTAATTTACTACTTATAATTTATTTTTATAAATTTAAAATTATATATTTTATATAGAAAATAAAATGAAAGAATGTTATAAGAAAGTTATGACAAAACCGCAGTAATTTCAATCAATCTGTTGCGATATTAAAAAAAAAAGACAGCAATTAATTTTTTTATAAAACTATTTTTTGTCAAAACTATTGTTTTGAATAATCAACATAAAGAAATAACAACGTAACCAGCAAGCTCAACACAGAATATATTTAACCAAACGTTTATTAATATATATACGCCTAATACTTATTCAACAAAACATTATGCAACTTATTTAGTGTCAATGTAACACAAACGACATTTATTTAAATTAACTACTTAAAACATTTTATGTATTATTTCCTGCCAAAGGGATCAGACCACACTTTCATGTTTCCTGGCTGTATCGCTTCTTGATTTACTCCAGCCCTATTGTGTTTCTGTACTTCTTTATATTTATCTGTGTGTAGCATAGGATCTATGACAACCGGATATATAGCAAGTCCAATTAACCCAACAATTCCTGATATGAAAACTCCATATCGCCAACCTTTCAGAAGTGCCATTATCGCAATTTAAATTATTTAATTATTCCACCTGTATTATGGGCAGAAATGGTTGACTATTTTTGTTACTTTAAAATTTTGACATTAATTTGCCGCAAAAACATATGTACAAATATGCAGAGTTGTATTTTTAAAAGATTTTAAGGAAATAGTTGAAGAGCCTAGAGTTGGTGAATAAAAATTAATATCGTCAACAATTTAGATAACTGTTAATAAATTTTTTTGCTTTATAACACAAATTATTTGTATTTTTGTAATACATTTAAATATACATTAAGTTTAATGATAAAATTTCACATTTATATATATAAAAATATAATAAAGAAATTTTTCTAATATCTCATATAAGATTCTGGTAGTAACGGTACTCCTTAAGCCCTAGATTTTGAGTGCCACCAAATTATATTAGATCGTATATTTATAAATAAAATAAATACACGTTAAAACACATAAAAATTTGAATTTTATTAAAAAATAAACATATCAAAAAATAATTTTAATTTGAAATTTAAATTACGAAATAAAACTTATGAAAAGAATTTTTATATATTGCAAAGTAATAAATTCTCCAAAACAATAATTTTAATATTTATAAATTTCTGTTAAACTTCAGTTTATCAGCACCAATTGAACCTCTAACACCTTTTTGTATTCCACGGGCATTATCAGTTATAGTTTTATTTCCAATCTGAAATAAAATAAAAACAATGAAGGGGTTATTAAATGGTTAATAATTATAACAAAAAATAAAAACCTTTTTATTTAATATCTGATTGGTAGCAGGAACATTCTGCGGTTTCCGTTTCTTTACTAAAAGGCTAGTGTCCAGCGTTTGTCTATATTTACTCATGTCATTTTCAAACTTGAACTCTTGAATAGCGCAATTTCCAGTTGAATTTTTATTGTGGTTTAATCTCTTTTGTAGAGGACTTAAATTAATGTTTGCTTCCGGTTTACTAACTCCTACAGTGTTGTTAAACTTAAGCTTTGCATTACTGTTGACATTGGGTTTATTGAATTCTGTTATATTATCAATTCGTTTATTGGGAACTGGTTTTTTTGATATCTCTGTTGTAGGTTGTTGAGTTCTAACTCTTGGTACACGAGTTTCTATTTTTGGAGAGTTGTCAAATTGTTTTTCTCTAACTATATTTGCCATTTTGATATAAGCTGAATTGTACGTAGAGGGGCTTCCCACCTTCGGGATTGTTGCTTTTAATGCTTTGTCTAAAATAAATTAATTATACATATATTTCAATACTCAGTTTAAGATTTTTGAATTTTAGTTTAGCGCTAATATACAGATTACCTAAAGTGTTTGTGGTTTTTGCTGCGCTTTTAAAACCTGGTGGTTTTGCGTAACTTGCTCCACCGTACGAGTTCTTATTCAGTACTTTATTCTTGGATACATGTTCACTTTGTTGATTGGTGATTGTTTTATGTTGGTTATTTTTGATGTTAGTGTCTGATATGATGCTTTTATTTTCTATAGCAATTTTAGCAAAGTCTATATCACTGTCTGAGTCAGAGACAACAGAATCAGATTCATTACTTCCATACTCCATTTTGGGAATTGCATATAGTACGTTATCCTTTTGTTTTTTCTGTACTGCTTTTGCTAAAATTGATTTTTTAATTTTCTCACTTTGAGTTATATCTCGCGCAACCATATCAGAATTAGAATAAAGTATTTGTTCCTGATTACCAGGTTGCTCTTCAATAGGTTTTGCGCGCGCTTTGTTGCTTTCCCCCGATTTATATAAATCATGACGTTTAAGAATTGCTCCATTAGAAATATTTCCTATTTCCGACTTTTCTTTATTAATTGTAGAAATTGCTTCAATGTCTTCATAGATAGTATCTATTTGTTCTATTTAGAATTTATGAAAAATTTAAACTATAGCTTACATAAGTTAAATTATCTAACCTTGGTCATTATTATTATTGCCATTATTGATAACAATATCGGTATCACTTAAATCCGATTTAATTTCAAAATTTTCTTTTATGATTTTGCTATAATATTTTTGTATATCAGTATCACTATTTTCGTTTTCTAATTCTAATTTGCTTCTAACATTTTCTTTTTTTTTAAATTGAGTGACAATACTACAAATAATTCAATTGTTTTATTGTTATTAAAATATTTATTTTTACAAACCTCCTGCAAATATTTTCATAATCAGTTTCATCTTCTGAATTAAATTCTTCTGGACATATTTTAGGACTACTATTTTTTTCTATGTTTTATTAAATTAAAATAAATTTTATTATTCACATCTATTTATTTTTTATTAACTTACCATTTGTAAAAGAACTTATGCTATTGGTTTCAGGAACCATTTTTTTAATACTATCTTTAATATCGGTAGTACATGTTTCAGCATTATTTGTAATAATACATTTTGTATCTGACTTAGGTTCAGTACTGGATTTAGGGTTGGTAGGAGAGTCCCGTTTAAATATAGCAACTACATTGTAATTGTTATTAGCATTCATTTGTTCAGATTTTTTAAGATGTGAGTTTATTTTCTCACATTCGTCCAATATTTCTGTTTGAGATTCGCTTCCGTGCTCAGAGCTTACTTCAAAATCTGCTTCTATGCTTCTGATTTTAATATTAGAAGATCTTGAATCATATCTATTTTTAAGATTTAATTTTTCACGAAATTTATACGCTTTCTTCTCACTGTTTTGATTTTTGTTTTTACTTTCAATTTCATTTTCAGATTCAGAGCTAACACCAATACTGTTTGATGGTAAAAGTGATTTTTTGGGATAATCTAAGTCCATCATATTGTCCACATTACGTTTAAATTGTTGAATAATTTCATCATGAATTTCAAATCCAGAAAAAGCATGATTTGTAATATTACCTTGGATTTTATATGCTTCTTCGTTATCAGATCCAGCGCTCTTTCGATTATTGCCTTCATTTTCTATAACATTTCCAGAATTATTGTTTAGTTTCTGATCACATGTATCTTTAGATGTCTGCTTTAAAACTGATTTATTCTTAAAAGTATAATCTGTTTTTAGATCTGGCTTCAACTGTTTGGCGATTTCATTCTCATTTATTGAACTGAAAGCAACGTGTTGTGTAGCACTATTTTGACTCCTTTGTTTATTATCAACATTATTTTCAGAATCAGTATTGACACCTATTACCGGTCTCACGTTCGGTGTTCGTTTCAAAAGCATTTTATTTTTATAATCAGCGTTAGTGTCCAATTTTTGTTTAAGTTGTTTAATAATTTCATCTCCACTTTCTGAATTCGGCTGTAACGCATTATTTTGTCTCTTGCCTTTACTACATAATCCATTTTCAGAGTTATTGCTTAAATTCATGACTGATGGTGTTTGTGGAGTTTTCTTTGAAACTGAACTACCCTTATTTTTTAAATTAGTTTTCGCATCTAGATTTTGTTTAAGTTGGTTTATGAATTCTTCTTCACTTTCTGATTTATAAGTACGTTGTTTTATGATTTCATTCCAACATTCTGAATCGGAAGAAACTTGCTCTGAAACATTATTTTGACGCTTGACTTTACTTCCAACATTATTTTCAGATACACCCTTAACTGATGATGTCTGTAAGGCCTGTTTTGAAACTGATTTAGTGTTATTTTTTTTATTAGTTTTCGAAGTCAGATTTGGTTTAGGTGGATTAAATTCCTCTTCATTTTCTGATTTGGTATTAATTTGCTTGGATTTGAGTTTTTGGTTTAGATGTTTATTTTTAAAATTTCGGTGAATATCTGTGATTGATAAACTTTGTTCTACCTGGTTTAAGCCCCATTTATTTTTATTTGTGGAACCTGTTGGGTGATCAAACTTTTGTTTAATTTGTTGATCAATTCCATTATCACTTTCGAAATCAGAAGAAACGAAGTCCTCATTTCTATTTTGATGCATTTCTTTAGTTTTAACGGATTCTGTTATATCTGAGCGAACACCGTGTTTCAAAACTGATTTATTTTTATCATTAAAATCAGTTTTTGAACTATATTTTTGTTTCAGTTGTTTAATAAATTCGTCTTCACTTTCTTCGGGTTCAGAATTTATTTGCATATGCTCGATGTGTTTTGGATTTTTGGAGTTTTTTCCAATAATTCCAATATTAGAATTATTATCCGTGTTAAACGAAGTTTGCGGTATTTCATTGAATGACTTTTTCTTATAAGGATGGTCAGTTTCATTATTTCGATTTTGTATAACTTGTTTTTTGTCTACAGTAATTCTTTCGTCTTCACTCTCTGACTCAGAAGAAACGTGCTTATATTTATGTTTATATGAGCGCCTTTTATTCATTATTGGAGATTGATTTTGGTTTTTTGTAAGGATAGTTTTAGTGCTATAATCTAAAGCTGAAATAGGTACTTCATTTCGTTGACTATCTGATATATTACTATATAATTGGTCTTTGTTTAGGGTTTTTTTATTTAGCTTTTGTTCTGATAACGTAGTTTTCTGAATTTTCATTTCATCGCTGGATGTATTGCTTTTATGTTTAGTATTTTTTTGCTCATCATCTGAATAATTGTCATCACTTAATTCAGTGTTTGACTGATCTGATTGTGGACTAACATTATAATTATCAAGTGATGAAGATGAATTCGTAGACTTTAGCCTGACATTCTTTGAAAAATTACTTTCGTTTCGATCATCATTCTTAGCAATATGTATTTTCTTAGCTACAGATAACTCATGAAATTGATTTGTTGAGATATTTACTGGAGAAGTAGAAGCATTACTTTTATTTGTCACATTTTTGAAAGTGGCTGTCGTAGGTACAGTAGTTGATGAATTACATTTCTCTTTAACAGAAGATTCCTCACTTGAAACATCGGTTTCATATTGTTTGAAGATTTTCGCAAATTCTTTATCTGCAGATCCCAACTCTAATTTACTTATAACACATGGTTTAGATGATATTTTTTTATGAACCTGAGAGTCCTTACCAAGTTTTGGTACTTGTTTTATAAAAATTAAAATAAAAAAATTTATAAAATGTGATTTTTAACAAATTAATTATGTAATAAATAAGTTGAGAGTAATATAAATATTTACAAAAAAAAAACACTATTTATATACCTTCTTGTTTTTTAATAGCCTCTTTGCTTACTGAAGGTTTTACTTCAGTGTTTTCTAATGAATTGAGATTTTTTACAGTTGTATGGTCTTTATCGAAGTCGTACAAATAATTAAAGCTATTATCTGGAAAAACAACATAGCAGTATATAACAGTATATAGTATATAATATAAATTTGTATAGAACAATACTATATGTTTTCTATATATGCTTACCATCCATATCAGTAACGATATTATCACTATTTTCTGAGTTATCACTTTTATAAGTTTTAGATCCAAGATATGACTGTCCTGTATCACCTGGACTTTTGGCTAACATTGATAAACTGTTTAAACGTCGGACATTCGATTTTGCAAACACTTTAAACTTAGATTTATTTTTATGATATTTTTCCTTTTTCGACATTGTGACGAAATGCAAATCAAAGATATCTTGAAAGAAATTAGTGCAAGAACTGTATTGTCAAAGTTATAAATATTTATATTTATTAATATTTTTATTTACTTTCTTTTCTGTATATGTTTAATTTAAAAATATTATTAAAACATCAGTTGTTACTAGATATAAAGAATAATTTTAATTATTAAAGTACGTTAACTTCTATTACTCGAATTTTCTATAACTCAAACTAAATAGAGTACGATAGGGTTTAGAGAGCAAGTTACATATACAGTTCTTTAATTTGAAGTCTACATAAGTCGAATCTTTTCTTTGCAAAATGGTTTTATTTTTATTATTAGCACAAGCCTAATAATAAGTTACTGCCTCATTTTAGAAATAGTAGATTTGTATTTTAACTAAGAAAATTAGTATAAATATGTATTTTTATTTATTGTAGTTTCTTAACCACACTTATTTTTATTTGAAAGTATAAGGAAATGATTTAAGAAAAGAGAATTTATTAATTATTTTGTTTTATTAAGAACAAATGTAAAATATTATAAATTATTAAGCTTACTTTCTGCTTAAAAAGTATCCGGATTTTGTTAACTAGTCTTTAAGTAATAGAACTTTTTCAAAAAATTTACAGCAGCTGTTAATGTGAAACTACCTCAAGTACGTTTAGCGATTTTTTGACCAAACACGGCACCACTGTCATCGCTCAGGCACCATATTCGCCAGATCTGGATCCGTGCGATTTTTTCCTGTTCCCGATACTCAAATTGTCCCTTCGTGGTAAGCGTTTTGAGTCGATTGAATCGGTAAAAGAGAATTCGCCGAAGGAACTAAAAGCCATACCTTCACGGCCCTACAAAAAGTGTATGGAAGATTGGGTTAAGCGTTGGTATATGTGTATCGCTTCAGAAGGAGCATATTTTAAAGAAGATAAAATAAATTTGGAATAAAATTTAAATATGTTTGTTTTATTTACAAAATCCGAGTACTTTTTGAGCAGAAGGTATAATACGTAGAAAATAACTGGAGAATGTGAAATTCTACAAACCAATAACCCTTCTACCTATAGTCATCAAAGGTCTACGAAAAGATATAAGTTACCATTAAGTTATAAATCTCAAATAAAGAAATAACATCTATTCAAGCAATTCAATTTAGATTAGGGATTTGCATTATGTACACTTTTTACAGTTAATCTACAAAAAATAATCAACATTTAAATAGCAACCTTCGCCGATGCCGATGGTATTTACGTTTCAGATAAACTCAAATACCATTTCCATTTATCTGTAGAATGGTTTTATTGATATAAAAAAATGAGGCAAACATGACCACCTCACTGCAATTAAATATTCCTATCCTCTAGTAAGTTAACCATAGAGGATAGCGCTGAATATTTAGGAATTCACTTAGACACACAAATAAGATGTTGAAAATACATATTTTCTAAAAGAAAATAACGTGGTGAACACACCCGACTAAAATTTATCGGCTATTATCCTTGGAAAATAAACTACTTATATATAAAATCATTATAAAATTTATATGTAAAGATTCATATTGTGGAAAGTCGAATATAGTCATCAATCAATATTTCCAATTAAAAGTCTGTGGAACAAATATCGACGCACTCCGATCTGACACTTTAATATGATTTATCTGACACACTAATATGATTTATCACACTCATCTTCAAGACCATCTTTACACTCTAGCAAAGAAGTTACCCCAGCTTGCTATATGACTATTTTCCACAAATGTGAAAATACTCTAATCAGTAATCTAGTAAATTTTTGCCAAATTTCGCTATAAGCTTGCTATTGCTTGACACACTTCTTGTCTAGAGTTGAACGTTAGAATGGAGATAAAATTGAAACTAACCAAGAAATGCACGTGCAGAAGTTATAGACCCCTATACCAGAATCTTGCTTTTTGCAGTTACTAAGACCACTGTATTTCAAGGAGAACTGCACACCATCTTTCAAATTTCAAAGGTGCCTACTTTTAAATTTGTGTTTACACAGTTAACCAATGAAGACAATGAAATTTTCGGTGCATTGCCACGATGCAAAGTCGTGTTACCCAGCTAAAAATAGATAAGTGTTTGTTATGCGCCTGATTACATTGAAATTGCTAATAATGAACAGTAGATTAGTTGTACAAAAATTGGTTCAGGTATGCAGTTGGGCGGATCAGAGTCTTTATACATCTATAATTAAAGCTCTCATGAACGATTTGTATACCTACTTATTTTTAAATTTCAAGTACCCATCAAGTGAAGGACTTGGCCGTCAGTGAAACAGTGTTGGGATTGTCAAAGATTTAATTCAGCAGTTATCGATCTCAGCAATAAGAAACAATCTAGTCAAGGCGCAAAGAGGGGTTTTGAAAAAACATCGTAGTTAATAGAGAGTAAAAGTGCTCAGGTGCACTGACTCAACTAGCCTCAACATAATAATTAATGATCTTTGTTTTAATCTTTGTCTAAAAATGAATAAGTGTTTTCGTCCAAATCTGTTTGACTATCTGACTTGGTTGTTGTTCATGGGGAAGATATTGAAGCGAGTATTCTTGATATTGTTGGTATAATATTCCGTAAAATCCATTCAACTTGTTTTGTTCAATCGAAAGATTTTGACTCTGTTTTCTTATTATTATTTCCAATTATTGGGCATTTGATGATAATATTGTATTATAAACATTTAATTCTTATATATTATATATATATATATATATATATATATATATATATAATATATATATATATATATATATATACATATAAAGTATATATATTAGTATATAAAAATATATGTAGTCAATGTTTCATTTAATTATTTTAATAAATTATATTGAGGTTTTTTTCTATTGTGGTTTTATTTTTTCCTTATGTGTTATTTATGTTTAAAAATTGTAAATAATTTGTGTTTTACTGATATATAAATTTTTTTTTATATCCGAAATTGTAAAAATTGCAATAAAAAGAAAATTTATATATATCATAAAAACACTCATAACACTTAAAATGTAAATATATTATTATTACAATATATGGGAACAATAGTTAAAATGTGTCTGTGGTATGCAAAAATTGAGCTATGTATTCACTTCATATTGTTTAGTAAAAACAATGCACTTTCATATGTAATTTTCTTTAGTACAGTAGAGTAATATGCAGACAAACTATATTGTATTTTAGTTGCTAATTTTCCAATACTAAGTGAATAAGTTAAAAGTTTTTACATAATTCGGAAATTACAATCGCATAATCCCTTCTTCACGTGCTGCATATTCAAATATTTCTTCATAGGTTTAAGCTGAGCCATCTCAAAAAGTCATCTGCGATGTACTTTGCGTTTTATGAAAGCTCAAAAAATGATTCATCGTTACTATTGCAGATAAAATGAATTTTTTTAAATTTATTTATAAAATTGAAATTACTTTAAAGTGAGACTTGAGCTAAAGCAGTTTTTCTTTAATAAGTAATATTCCTTAAGGGTATATTAAATAATATGTACAATCATTTCCTGTAGTAAAATTTAAGTACAGTCAAACTTCCATAACTCGAGGTACCATTTTGCACTTATGGAGACTTCGAGTTAGAGAATTTTTTTATGTTTTTTTTATTTAAAAAAAATCTAGAATTACATTTTAAAATATTTATTTATTTATTTGAAATTAAATACAGCACAGAAGTTACAGTGAAGTAAAATATACACAAATTAGAGTTTGTGATTTTTGTTACTTTCAGTAAAAAGAGATTCCAATTTATTCAAAGCCTTATAGTGAACATTTGTTGGAGTATCATTTGTTTGTAAATAAAAATTTAAAATTTTGAATGATTCTTCTACTTTATTCTTGGAAGTCTGATGAACAATTTCATCCATGGAACCTTCATTATCACTTTTCGTCGCGCTTGGAATCGGTTCCACTAATTCAGAGCGATAATGCTTAATAATATCGTTATATGTAGGAAAGTTTGATGTACAAATTTCTTTGTCAAGCTTAATATAATCGTTGAGTAGTATTGGAAGTTATCTTATTTACTTTAAACCACGCGTCATAATTTTGATCCATTAAATCACGGTCTTCATCAATGTTAATCAAACAAACTAAAGGAATGTAATTCTGTTTGGATTGGCCAAATCCAGACTTTTTAAAGCAGTGCACTATCGTTTGACTACTTACATCAATATCTTAGGCTTTTCTTACTTGATTTATGCAATCCATCAGTATAATATCCTGACTTTTGTAGGCTTCTATACGCTTTAGTGCTTCTTTTACGATTCTGTTGCAATATGTTAGTTACACTTAAAATTTTGAATTAGTCCCAGATCAAGCGGTTGCAGTTTAGAGGTCATATTCGGAGCAACATAAGAAAGAATAAATTAAACATTTGTTTTGGAAAAAGGAACTTCCCCTAACACCAAAATTGATTCATACTTTAAACAAAAATTTAACTTACAGAATACACTTTCCTATATTCCTATTGGCACGTCACAATATTTTTATTCGAGTTATAGAGAAATTTGAGTTATAAAGGTTCGCGTTATGGAAGTTTGACTGCAGTATATATATTATTTTATATCTAAACAAAAGATTTAATGTAGAAATATTACAATTACTTTTAGTTTTAATAAAATATTTAAGTAGATAATTAATTATTGATTAAAAGATGTAAAGTGTAATTATTTGAAATGAGTACTTCAAATTTTTTTTCTAAGAAAATAAGATATAATTCTTGAGAAATATATAAATATAGAAATATATAAATATGTAATATACAAATGTATATTTATAACATAGAAATATGTAAATTTTTTTTAATTTCATTTTTGTTTTTGTAAGTACTTTGTTGCTAACAACATTTTATTAGCGATAAAAATGAATAATTTTTTAGTAATTAAAACTTTATCTTTATACATATACTAAAAATAAAGTAAATGTATATAATTTATGGTAGGCATAAAATTTGTAATATAAACTTATTAGTAATTAAAAAATGTTTTGTTTTTTATAGAAAATAAATAATAGAAAATACAAAGTTTTAAGATTATTTTGTACTTATGTTTGTTTACAATGTTTTAAAAG